GGGCTGGTTGGTCCAAAGTGTGGTAAGACTTGGGGACTCCTGAGCCCATGGACAAGGACCTAGCCACAGAGGGCTAGAGCTGAGAGTGAAGTGTCCAGCTGATACAGAGTGAGGGGAGATGCACAAGAGTGCCCAGACTTACAGATAGTACCCATTTGACCTTGCTTTGATGGCTTGATGATCACAATTCAACTAGAGGAAGATAAAAAAATCTGATAAAGGAAACAAGTGTAATTGCTACAATTTTATAAACTTGACTTATACTTATGTATGAAGTAGCTCAAAATACCAACAGAAAGGAAAGGATCACATTAGCTACCTAAAATGGGGGTCGGGGGGAGCTATAAAGGCATGAAGTGACTGGCTTACAAGTTTTCAAAAGAGAGTTTAGTTTCAGAGTGTGCAGGGGAAGATAGAATCCCCACTGAATAGTTTTTATTATGTCTAGATGAGTCTGGTGAAAGGAGATGGGGATAAGATTCTTATGATTCAACAGTGAGTAATTGTTAGCATGGCTAATTGTGATTGTTACAACTTGTAACAATCAAAGGTAGATTGTAAACAAGTTTTGTAACAAAAAGGGGGGAGTAAACCCCCCTCTAAGACTGAAACTCAAAGGGAACACACAAGCAGGCATGTACGCTTGCTGACGATAACATTAGTCTACTGTTGAGTAGAAGAGGAGGAAAGGTAGCAATGAAGAAATGGGCTGAGTTCAACCATGTTCCATAGACTCCTGTTGACCTGGAGATGAGAGAGAAGAGGAGCTGGTTGGACCAAAGTGTGGTGAGACCTGGGGACATCTGAGCCCATAGGCAAGGACATAGCTACAGAGGGCTAGAGCTGAGAATGATGCATCCAGCTGCTAAGAGGTGAGGGGAGAGATGCATAAGAATACCCAAACTTGCAGATAGTGCACATTTGACCTAGCCTAGATGGCTTGATAATCAGAACTTGACTAGAGGAAGATAAAAAAAAAAAAAAAAAAAACCCCACAATTTTTGATAAAGGAAATGAGGGCAAATTGCTGCAATTTGATGAACTTGATCTATATTCACAGAGGTAGTAACTCTATCATCAGAGAGGGAAGGAGTCTTCACATCAAATATCAATGCTATCCTTTCTGTACACAGATAGGGACGGGCAACCTAGACATTGACTACCTAAAATAAGGGTGAGATAAAGGCACAAAGTGACTGGCTTACAAGGTTTCAAGTAGAAGTTTAGTTTAAGAGTGTGTGTGGGAAGACAGAGTCCTCATTGAATAGTTTTCATCTTGTCTAGATGGGTCTGGTAAAAAGAGATGGGGATAAGATTCTTATGATTCAATAATGAGTAATTGTTATCATGACTAATTGCGAGTGTCACAACTGTAAAGGTAGAAGATTTGTAATAAAAGTGGGGGAGTAGTTAATCTTCCCATCCAGAAACAGAGGACCCTAGGAATATTAAGGGAAAAGAGCACAAGCAGAATGTGAGACTTTATCCAGAGAAGCAGCGATACCAGAGATGGAGGCAGAGATGGGGATATGGATAGAGGGAGCAGCTGAGAACTCTAAATTCATGGGAAGAGAGGGACTGAGAGCTGGCAGCCAGGAAGCAGACTTGCAGAATGTGTCCTTTGGTGGTGTAAATTATTATATATGCCCAAGTGTTTAAAAAAAAGCTAAAGTGAATAGAGAGAAATACTGTTAACTGATGGTACATGGAGGAGATTATAATCATTGTAATATGAAACAAAGTGTACAATTTGTTGAAAGTAAAACTGATGATCTGACCTTTAAACTTTCACTCAATACACAATAAAAACATTAAAAAAGAAATCAGTCTGCTAAATGTGACCTTTGGGCATTTTAAACAAATACATATTTTCAGTGTGATACATGCACATCCAAAAAAAAAAAAAAGGTAATAGAGGTAAATACTGTTAACTGATGGTACATGGAGGGGATTGTAATCATTGCAATGATTTGTTGAATGCAAAACTAATCATCTGCCCTGTAAACTTACACTCAATTCACAATAAAAGTTTTTAAAAAATTACATTAATTAATAACTGTTAACATAACAAATCATTACAAAAAATAAATTAGCTTGTCATACTTGGTCAGTTAATTAACTAACTCATCCCTAGGTACTGTGGGTTAATGTGTCAGACTGCAAAGCCTTTTGAACTGCAAGGTCAGCAGATCCAGCTCACCAGCTGCTCCTTGGAAACCCTACATAGGGTCACTATGGGTCGGAATTGACTTGACGGCACTTGACAACAACAACAATGTGATGACTAGGAGTCCTGGTATGGTGCTGCAGGCTAATGTTGGTTTGAATCACAAGGTCAGCGGTTCAAGCTCACCAGTCACTCGTGGGAAACCTTATACAAGGTCTGCGTGAGTCGGAATCGACTCCAAGTTACTTAACCACCACCACAACAAAGTGAAGACTGGAACTGCAGTGTCTTGGCATGGCCAGATCAAATTATTTCTTGAGCCTTATACATCCCCCACCCCTGCCTTAGAAGTTGATATCTAAACAATAACAGCATCCAAGGGAGCAGACCACTACTTCCACAAATACTATGTTGCCACAATGCTATAGAAATAGAAAGGTAGAGTTCTCTGGATGACGCAACTGAAGACAAAAAATTTAGGGCATTTCCATGCTCCCATGACAGTATGGACTATTTACAACTTGGGCTTTAGAAGTGACTAGGAAACTCTGATCCACTTACCAGAAGGCTCTTGAAGGGTGCTGACCTGGGCTTTGCTTCCATCTTAGAAAAAGATGGTACTGCATCGCCAGGTCTCTCCACTTAGGGAAGAATACATCTCTTAGGTAGGGATCTTGGTCTAAGAAGGGCCTGGTTTAATATGAAAATTTGGCCTTGAGACACTGCATTACCTCTATCTAGGAGCTCTGGTAGCGTAGTGGTCATGAATCGGGCTGCGTACCGCAAGGTCAGCAGTTTGAAACTACTAGCTCTTCTGTGGGAGAAAGATGAGGCTTTCTGCTCCCATAAAGATTTACAGCCTCGGAAACCCTGTACAGGGTCGCTATAAGTCGGAACACACTCCACAGCCAGTAGAAGAAGACATGGAGAAAAATGCAGTAATTGCTGAGATACAGAAGTGTTAACCTCATTTTCTATCTACATAAAAATGCCACGGTTTTGGTATTCATTGTCCAGCAGCAGCAACAGTACCATCACCAAGGGAGTGCTGGCATGGTGCTGTGGATAAAGCACTGGACCACGAGGAAGATTGGTGGTTCAAGCTCACCAAGAGTTGGAACTGACTCAATGGCACTAAACAACAAAAACAACCATGTTTAAATATGACACTTAACCCCGTCCTACCCCCCCCAGAAATCCCAGAAAGGAAAATACCACTATCTGAGATATCCTAGACACCAATCTAGTGCTTCACAAGTTCAATTAACGTGAATGAAGCTAGACCACAGGGTCTTTCCACATATGAATCAACTTCTGAGAGTAGCTTGAAGAAAGAAAGTGACAAATAATAACCTAGCATTCTCATTTCAAGAATTTACTTGTAAATGTATCATAATACATGGATTAAAAGGAAATATTTATATACTCCAATTATAGTTTCTGAACCTTGGCACTTATTCAATTGGCTGAGATAATAACTAATACCTGAGTTTGTAAGAGTGTATATTGGTTGGTACAGAATGAGGTAAAGATTTTTCTTTTAAAGTTGGGAAACCATCCTAGCTTTAGAAGCCAACCACTACAACAACTTTTGTTTAGTTTCTTATACTAAAGTTAACTGGGTCAAATGGCCTTAACACTAAATTCAGAGAAATCCAGCTTTATTACTGAAAGATAATTTTTCTGATCCCAGGGGCAAGTACACATTTTTCACTACCTTGAGGCCAACATCTTCATTCCTCACAAAATCAAATGAGTAATTATTCTCCACGGCACACCACCACCAACCACGTTCAACTTGGGTACTGAGCTGTACACATTCTTCTAAGAGACTGGCTCATATCTGAAATGATTGCAGGAAGCTAGACAGTTACATTTCATTACACAGACATTTAGTTTGGAGTTCCCGGATGGAGCAAATGGTTAAAGCAGAGGTGCCTCGAAAGAAAGGAATAGTGATCTACTTCTAAAAGCCGGTCATTGAAATCCTGAGGAGCATAGCTCTACTCAGACACACATGAGTTTGTTATGAGGCAGAATCACCTCCATTACAACTGGATTTTTTTTTTTAATACTTAGTTTACAAGAAAGCAACACTGTTGTTTTACTGTTGTATATTTAGTCACTTCTGAGCCCTAGCAGACCCGCTCCACACGGTGCCCTACGTCCTAATCTTCATAGGAGCTGATCACTAGATCGTTGCTATCATCGGGATGCTGGGTAGGTTCGAACCACTGGCTTTTGGTAACCAAGGGAGCACTTAACCATTGTGCCATCAAAGCTCCTTAATGCAACGTTAACTCAGTAAAAAAAAAAAAAGCTTTAAAAAGAAAAAGAATGACTTAAATAGTACAGAACTCTACTTAGTGAGTCCCCGTTTAAGATGGGAATGTGACTCTGTTGTTTCTGCCAGGAGGTCTTGCAGAGTGGGCCTCTGGTAGTGCTGGGTGGAATCCTATGTTTACATTTGATACAATGTGGTTCCTGAAAAGAACATTTTAACCATTTACAATTTTTACCTTAGACATTGATTCTAGAACTTAATCATGGATAAGATTCCTTGACTGTACCACCAACAATCTGACCCATGCACCTGAGATAGTACACTTCTATAAAATGCCATAGCAACCAACCTATTACATACTTTATCAACATATGACATAATAATATATTACAGTAGACAGAAACTTTATCTATGATACAAGCCCAATGTCTAACCCACAGTGCCATCAAGGGCTCTGTGGTGAAAACGAAATACTTACAAATGTAGGTCCTTTTAAAATCAGCTACTACCCAAGAACCTGGAGATGGAATATGTCTTGAGAATACTAACCCTTTGAAGAAGTCCTGTTTGCTGAGCTTGTCTGACTGCACCAGCTGATAGAGTAATTGGCCCATGTGATCCCTGGTGATCTGGCTTCTTTCCAGGGTGGACTCCACCCCCACTCTCACAAAAACATGCAGCACACCCTGGGCATTCAGCTCTTCTACACACTGCATGGCTTCCTGTTCAAACAGCAAACAAAGGTTTACTCCAAAAATGGCATGGCATTACCAAAGTTAAAATAACTTTAAAATCTGTTATTTATGACAAAGTCAATAGAAAGCTCTATGAACAAGAAAGTTTCAATGCTTCTTTTTTTTCTTGAACATAGTATTTATTGTTACTGGTGTTAAGCGCTGTTGAGTCAGTTCCGACCCATAGACCCATAGCGACCCTGTATAGGGTTTCCAAGGAATGACTGATGAGATTAAACTGCTGACCTTGCCATTCAAGCCAACTTTTACATAATATAGCCCAGTAAAATACAGACTGAAATGAGCAATATTATTCACATTTAATAAAAAAAAAAGAATAGTATGTCTTTATCTGATCCACGGCACCTAACCACCACCACCATAAGGCTAACATGTTTAGATTAACAATCTACTGCCCTCAAGTCAATTCCCACTCATAGCAAGCCTTCAGGACAGAGTAGAACTGCTCCATAGGATTTCCAAGACAGTAAATCTTTAAGGAAATATACTGGATCGCTTTTCTCCTACAGAGTGGCTGGTGGTTAGAACTGCGGGTGTTGTAGTTAGCAGCTGGATGTTTAACTCATTGTGTACCAGGACTCTGGAGGTAGGGAAAGGACTACTCAATATGGAGACTTCCACTGCATTTCCAATACAGCTGCGTACATCCCTCCTCCCCTACTGCTTCCACATAGATATTTCAGTTTTGCCTGGTGTCCCTGAATCCAGAATGTGTTGGTTCAGCTTCTGACAAGACTAGTGTTTCTGCATGTTTGGTGAATGTGGGATGTGTGCATCTGACTGATGGACTGCACATCTAATGTGTTTCACAACCGCTGCTTTTATCCTCTCTGTTACATCTCCTGGTGGTGCTCTAGGGTAAGCATTGGACTGCTAACTGTAGGATCATTAGTTCAAAACCCTCAGCCATTCCAAGGGGGAAAGAAAGAGGCTTTCTGCGCCTGTAAAGACTTATTGCCTTGGAAACCCTACACCACAGGGTTGCTAGATGTCAGAACTAACTCAGTGGTTGGCAGTGCGTTCAGTTTTGGTTTGGCTACGATATTTAATCCTCCTTCATCGTTGTATTTTGAAACATTTCAAATCTACATAGAAGTAACACTCAGATACCTTCATTTAGATTTAGGTTCATCAATTACTAGTTTGCTATACTTGTTTTCTTTCTGTATATACACAATTTTTATTTCTGATCATTTGGAAACAGGTTGAGGACATTACCACACACATTTCATCTACATACACTTTAGATTAATCTTCTAAAAATATTTGCCGACACACCATTTTCAAATCTAAAACATGTAACATTGATACAATGTTACCAAAAACATGATCAGATGTATACAGTTGTTGTTAAGTACTGTCGAGTCGATTCTGACTCATAGCGACCCTGTATAGGGTTTCTGAGGCTTTAAATCTTTGCTGGAGCAGAAAATCACATCTTTCCCTCTTCAGAGCAGCTGGTGGGCTTGAATTGTTGACTTTGTGGTTTGGAGTTCAGTTCTTATTGTATGGAGCCTGTTGTTTATAGTACATGTTTCAATTTCCACAACTTTTCCTAAAATGTTCAATATAGCTCTTCAAAACAAAACAAAAAACACAACAGTTCTAGGATCCAGCCAAGAATCATTCAGCTGTCAGATGCCTCTTCAGATGCCTTTCATCTAGACCAGTTCCCTGTCTCATCTTCTCAAAAACACTCAGAGGTCATTCATCTTATAAAGCTGTTTCTTATACACATTTCTAACCCACCATTCCTTGTATTTTTTTTTTACCCCATCTGATATTAGTCAGCTAAATAAATTTATTAGTCTGCTAAATAAACTTACCATTCATATTTCTAATGTCCAACTTCCAAATGTTACTGCTGTTTTGTTCTTGTGGGCTTTTACCTGGTTTTAAATCCATCACCATCACTATACTGCCTTTTCAGGAAGGAGTGAAAATGAATGAAAGTATTCAAACCTCAGTATTTAACCTGAAGTGTATTCCAAAGGGATTCTAACCATAGCATACTTTAATGCCAAGGAAATTTGTAATCTTACTCTTACTCCAGATTTTCTCAAGGTTTTCTTCGTATTATTTCTGAACCCAGTTGAAATGACATCTCCCACAGTCCTCTCTGCCTCCCCCAATCACTATCATATGACCTTATTCTACTTCTCAAATAGTACACTTTTTTTTTTTTTTTTTTTGCAGTTGCTGTTTGTCACCTATCTTTTAGGGCCAGCTTTATCTTGATCTCTTCCCCTAGAAAGTAAGTTTCATAAAAGTCAGGCATTGGTTATGCTGTTCACTATATAGACTACAGTAGCCCAAGCCAGTGTAGAACTGCCCCATACAGTTAGTAAGGCTGTCTTCTTCATGGGAGCAGATTCTCCTATCTTTCTTCCTTGGAGTGGCTGGTAGGTACAAACTGCTGACCATTTGGTTAGCCAGAGCCCTTTAAATACTCTGTCATTAAGGCTCTTTATTACCAGGCGGAAAACCAACCAAACCTAGTGCCAACAAGTTGATTCCAACTCATAGTGATCCTTTATATGGTTTCTGATACTGTAAATCTTGACAGAAGCAATAGCCTCATTTTTCTGCTGTGGCTGATGGCTTAAGGTTAGCAGAACAATGCCTAAACCACAGTGCCACCAGGGTTCATTTACTCCCAGGCAGTATACCCTAAAAATACGGTTGGCATGTTTTAGGTACTCAAGCATACAGCGCAGAGACTAAGACCATAAGCATTCGAAGCAGACTCACCCAATTCTACTGTGTGAGGTTGGAAGTGCCACATAAATTCTCAGCCTTGACTTCCTCTCAGAAGGTTATTGTAAGGGGTCAAATGATGTACTGGGCACATTGCCAGGTACAATAAAAGGGTTCAATAATCATTAATTTGTATTACTGCTAATAACAATAGCTCAAGATGTTAGGGGGAAAAAACTCCAAATCCTCCTTAGGATGGGCTCTTATAAGCCTTTAGCATGACTCTTGAGGCAATGAGCAAAAGTATAACTTATGCTCTGAATCTGCCACTTATTAGCAGTATGACCTCAAGGAAGTTTACTTACATCTTTGCATCTCAGCGTCTATCTGTAATGATGAAAATTCTGGCAATATCATTCTCAGGAGAGTGTTAGAAGGATTAAATGAACTAATACACATAAAAGATACAGAAGAGCACTGGGCATGTAGGAATCCCTCATGAATGCCAGCTATCACTGTTGTTACTGTTAACATGCCCTCGAGTTGGTTCTGACTCATAGTGACCCTCATAGGGTTTCCGAAACTTTAAATCACTGTGGAAGTATGAAAGCCTTATCTTTCTTCTGTGAAGTGGCTTGTGGTCCACAGTCCAGTGCTTATCCTCTAGAGTTACTGTGCTCCCGCAGACATCATTCCAGGCACTTAATGCAATTCTGCAGGCAGAGGTGCCCTGTATGTTGCATGCTGACATAGTTCTGTCTGTTCCACACTGTAGGTCTGGCTTATGGCTAACATGCCTGCCACTGTTATAATTAAGTGCTACAAGGTCTTTTCCTACCTACATCTTAAAGTCCACCACAAGGCTATAATTTTCTCCTTCCTAAGTGTTTGCTACTCACTGATTTTGTAGGCCTTTCAAATTTTTTCTAAAGCAATATTCCACTGCTGTCTTCCATATTATCTCTGCCTTTTGTCTTTCTTAGCCTTTCAGTTGTATTTTAAGTTTTTTTACACTTTGCACTTTAATGACAGGAAAAAGCTGTGCTGCTGGTTTACAAGAAAACTCATTTTCCAGAAATCCTACTAACAAAACACGAGAAATCAATATGTTCTATGGCTTTATCCAGCTAATGCTTTGTTTTGGGTGGTGGGGGTGGAGGCAGGGGGCATCTCCAAGTCTTCTACAAAGCACTCCTCTCCACCTCATCTAACATCAAAACATCTTTCTGCTGTTTGGGGCCATTACAGAGGCTGGGCTATGGATAACCCAAGTAATTTTGTGAACAGGAAGCATGTAATGACTATACTGACAAGGAAATAAGTAATCTTGAAAGAATTTTTAGTAATATAATGCCAAAGAAAATTGGTTAATATACATGACAGACATGCTTTAACAGATAATAACAATTTTAACACATAAGTCTTTCCTGATGCCAAATATTCTACTAGCTCCCATTACAGGCTCTCTACTAAATTCTCATAAATCTTCTAACAATTATTACAATTTTAAATTAAGTAACTACTTGCAAACTTAGCTCTTCATGTGCTCTCTCTGCCAGTAGACTGGGGTTCTCATGAGATCAGGCAACATGTCTATCTTATTCAATTAACATTTCAAAATGAAGATCAAGTAGAAGGTAAGGGTTGATTCAAAGGGACAATTCAAAGCTTATATTCTGAAATATCTTTTATGCTGTCTGACTCTTCTACCCTGGCTTACTCCTTATATATAAGTCTTAGAAAATAAGGAAAAGATAACACCAGCTACACTTCAAGGTTCATATGAAAATCACAATTGAAATGACTATAAAGCACATGACAAGTATAAAGGGTGCTAGGAACACTCATAGAAAGTGTGGTGGCATCACACGATAAGCACTGGACCGCAAACCACAAGGTCAGTGGTTTGAGCAGCTCAGCGGGAGAAAGATGAAGCTTTCTGTTCCTGTAAAAGATTTAAAGCCTCAGAAACCCTATACAAGGTTGTTATGGGTTGAAAACAACTCCACAGTACTTAACAACAGAGAACCCTCATATTGACATGTGTTGCTTTTTTGTACAATAACATCAAAGTATATTTGGTTTTCCCATAGTTGAGGATGGATTATTGCCTATTTTCTCTTTCCTCCAATCAATCTGGAGTTCTGGTGTGGTGCTGTAGATTAATGCGCTGGACTGCAAAGTTGATTTGAAGCTCAAAGTCAGGGGCTCAAGCTCACCAGCCTCTCCTTGGAAATCCTATACAGGATTGCTATGGGTTGGCACTTAACAAAAACAACAACAACCATTCAATCTGTGACTTACAGTATCAATTTAAAAGAAAATACTTGAATCCGAGTTAAGTAAACTAAATTGGGTATGGCTTGGATTACTTGACTTAAGTCTGATTAAATATACAATGAAAATTGATTTCTATTAGAAGCAAGACTCTCTGCCATAGGGCCAGTGCCTATGAAAAGAAATGTGGCTGTCTCTGTTGTTGTCATTGCCTTCTCTTTTGTAAATTCCATTTACCTTAAAATCATTAATGTGTAGGAATTCATCAATGATAGATTTAGACTTCCTCTCCATCTCCACTTCTGATAATGCAGGCTTGTCAGGGGCTGACGTTGCTGGAATTTCTGGTTTAGCTACTAGTGAGGTTAAAAAGAGTGAGAAAGTAAAAATGTCAATTACTATTAAAGTGGTGGGATTACAGTCAACAGTATTTGTGTTGGCATATTATTTTTCTCAGTAAAGGCGTTACAATAGATCCAAGTTTGACAAAGCAAGACATGTAAAAGCAAAATATAGAAACCTTCATTTTGTAAGAGCTGTATTAAGGAACTTCATATTCTGTAACAGTGAAAAGAATGTCAGGACATGATGAGCTTCTATAATTACAGGCATGCTGTCCCCGTCTGTATTTCAATCCCTTCTCATGGGTTAGATAATAACACACGAGGGCTCCACAACCCTGCACAGATCACAGGGCCCTGCTGGCTACAATGGCCTGCCCCATGGCTCCTCCATCAACACCTTTGCTCAGGAGGCCCTCATTGTCTGGAATACTCTCTCTGTCCCTTCACTCCCTATCTGGTCTTCTCTGAAAATCTGCTTTATTCCTACTGGCATTACAGATCTGAGAGACTCTTTCCTTGACACCCTTCTCTCTCTAGCTCTAGAGAGTTCCTTTTCTAAGTTCTTTCTTAAAACTAGGTTCCCTTCCATTGAAGCATTTTTCTCAATTTGTACTAATGTAATCTTAGGTGAGATTATTTCATAAAGGTCTTTGTGAACTGGCAGACTGAATGCTGAGAGAGGAGACTATCGAGTGCTGCTCCTCAGAAACCCTATATGGGGCGCTCTGAGTCAGAACTGACTCGATGGCACGTAACAGCAACAACAGGCACTCACTAGGTGGTCAGTGTGCGTCTGGTGAATGAACAAATGAACTAGACAATAAACATATAGCTACAAAAGACATTTTTGTGTCCTATACTCAGTGTTCCCATAATACCTAGCACATGTGTCCAGAAAGCTAAAAGATACAAATCTACAAAGTTGGGTGAAAACATTTCAGTTTGTCTCGGAAGTCCATTTAGAGACCACAGTTAGGAGAAACAATTTAAATAGTGCAACTAATTTGAAAGCTATAGAAATGTTAAAAACAACCAGCATTACTTAGTGATTAAGATTCAAAATTAATTTAATTTTCAGCATTGTCAATATCATTACATCCTTTAAAAACTTTGTATTTACCAGGTCGTACTCTAAGTACCAACATTCTCATTTAATCTTCAAAGTAACCCTATAAAGATGATTTGATACATTTATTATGACCATTTTACAGATAAGGAAACTGAAACATAGAAAGGCTAAATTCTCAGAGAATTACCTGAATAGATTTTCTTAGCATACATAGGGCTGTTGTTGTATGCCATCGAATCAATTCCAACTCATAGAGACCCTATAGGGCAGAGAGGGACTGCCCTGTAAGGTTTTTTATTTCTCTTCTATTTGTCGTTGTTGAGAATATGCAAAACAAAAATCCACCATTTTCAATAGTTCTACATGTAAAATTTAATGATATAGATCACATTCCTTGAGGTGTACAACTGTTCTCATCCTCTTTTCCCAAGCTGTCCCTCCTCCATTAACATAAATGCACAACCCCCTAAATTTGCTAATATTAATATCTTTCAAGTTGCAGTTGTCAATTTGATCACATATTGAAAGACCACAATGCTTACAGCAGCAGATTCTTTACCAGTTAAACTAAACTACTGTTTGGTTTGATGATGATTTCAGGGCATATTTTTGGTTTAAGGTTTAAAGATGATCTCAGGCCCATAGTTTCAGGGAGGGATTCATGATCTTCCATGGCTCCAGAAAGTCTGGCTCCTATGAGAATTTTAAATTCTATTCTGCATTTCCCTCTTCTGATCAAGATTCTTCTAAAGAATCTTTGATCAGAATGTTCAATAATGGTTGTAGGTTGTAATCTTTATGGGAGCACATCTCCAGGTCTTGTTTTATCATGGATCTGCAGACAGGTTTGAACCACTGACATATTGGTAGCAACTGAGTGCTTAAACATTGTGTCACTGGAGCGTCTTAATTCATGCTGTAGTTGTTGTTAAGTGCTGTCAAGTCAGTTTTGACTCATAGCAAGCTTGTATAGGGTTTCTGAGGAGCAGCTGGTGAGTTTGAACTTCTGACCTTGCAGTTCAAGGTTGAGTACTTATCCTATAGTGCCATACCAGGACAGGCTAAACCCATGCAAAAACTACTTGGATTACCAAGGAAGATGAGAGCAACAAAAAACAACCTGGCAACTTCTCTCTGGTTTGTCTTATAGTGGCTCCAATCATGTGAGAATCTGCATACATTTGAGGGTCTCCACACTGGTGTGGTGCCGTATAATAAACACTGGACCTCAAGGTTGGTTTGAACTGCAAAGGTCAGTGGTTCAAACTCACTAGCCGCTCTGCAGAGACACTATACAGGGATACTAGGAGTCAGAACTGAAATGATGGCACTTAACCACACAAAGTACAGTGGTGTATTATTAAAGGGATAGGTAAGAAATTAGAGTGTTTAACATACAGCAAGAGGCTCTCATTACCCTAACATTTAGTAGAGAAACAAAAAATTTATAAATTGCTAAGGAATGAGAACTAAACTACAAAACTATGAAGCTGCCCTTTAATTTTTAAGGCACGGGTTTATGCGCTGCATAGGTTCCTGGGTGGTGCAAAGTGTTCTTGACTAACCTAAAAGTTGGTAGTTCTAACCTACCCAGATGTGCCACAAAAGAAAAGGCTAGGATCTATTTCTATAAAGATTACAATGAAGAAAACCACACGGAGCAGCAGTTTGACTGTAATAATACATGGGATTCTCATGAGTTATAACTGGCTTGATGGCAATGGGTGTGGGGCTTATTTTATGGTCTATGTGTATGGCTCCCATATATTGACTCTGAAATCTATTCACGAACACAGTCTCCTTTGTACTTTTCCTTCTAATTGAAGGCCCAAATCTCCAGGCACAGTCTCTCACCTGACTCCCTTGTTTTGTTCCGGTCTGCTTCAGTAATACTCCTTTCTAGATCCACGCCTCCTGTTAGTTGTTTCACGGTCTCTAGCATTTCTCTCCGTTGCTCTTCTTGAGACTGATTGTCTAACAGATCTTTACTGCTGCTGCCCCTCATGAAAGTGTTTGGACAAGCAGATGCAGATGGAAGGGGCTTGTCATTCTTCTCTCTGCCCACGCTGCCACGACTTGGAAGACAAAAACAACACTTTTCAAAACAAAGATCCCTTCCTCCCCTTTATATGCAGTTACAAACAATACCAAGGGTCTCTTAGTATATAGAATAATTTTACAAACAACTTAAGATGTCTGAGAGGCCAATTATATGCCAGAGTATAATTATTTATACAAAATGAGAGATCAAAGTCTTTCAAAGGGAATGTTGATTAAGTTTGCTTGCTTGTTTGTTTGTTTGTTTAAGTTTATATTGTGAATTGAGTGAAAGTTTACAGGGCAGATCACCAGTTTTACATTCAACAAATCATACACCTTGTTTCATTACAATGATTATAACCCCCCCATGATAACATCAGATAACAGCATTTCTCTCTATTCACTTTAGCTTTTTTAAAAATTAAGATATGTTTTAACTATTTTCTAAATTGGTAAAAAGGATACTAATTACATTTGAAAAATATCAACATCAATTCATTATTTTAGTTTTCAACATATATTTTTTACAAATAAAGAAGATATTGATTAAAGTATGAACTGAATGAATCAAGTAGAATATCAGAGGAACATGGTATCACTATCTTAGAGATCTACAACATAGTATTTATTCATAATCTTCAAATTAATGGAAAGTATTTAAGAATTAGGTAGAAGTAGTCTATCAACCGTGGAAGGCATACACAGACTCTTCAAATATTATTTATACTTTTTTGTGTGTGTGTGTGTTTTTTTTTTTTGGTTTAATCAGCTAGGCAACGAGACGTCTGGCTAATGGAAGATGTGGTGGAAGTGATGTGCTGTGGAGTTGGTTCCAACTCACAGTGCATAGGATTTCCTGCATAGGGTTTCCAAGGCTATATGTAAAATTATATCTTTTTTAAGGCTGTAAATTTTTACGAGAGCAGAAAGCCTTATCTTTCTCCTACAGAATGGCTGGAAGTTTTGAACTTCTGACCTTGAGGTTAGCAGCTTGACTCATAACCACTACGCTATCAGAGTTCCTTTAATGGTAGATGTTGCTATTGTTGTTAAGTGCCATCAAGTCAATTCTGACCCATAGTGACCCTGTATGGGGTTTTCCAAGGAGGGACTGGTGAGCATGAACCACCAACCTTGCATTTCAAACTGAGTTTGCAGTCCAGCGCTTAACCCGCAGCACCACACCAGAAAGAGCAAATTAAAAGGGACAAGAGGGGAGGGTGTAGAGGCAGGCCAACAGTTCAACCCCTATGAAGGAACATACACAAAAGCTCAAAAAGTCGAATAATCTGGAGACATTTATGGTAGGGCCAACTACACTTCAATAGCACAACTGGTGTTCAATGACATGAGTAACAAAAAATTTCATGTGTACTAAATAAGATTTTATTTCAAAAGCTAACGGAATCAGTAACATAGCTCAGAAAGTCTACTTAGTTAAACTGATATCACACACACACACACACACACACACACACAAACAACTGAAGAAACTGAGAGCTTAAGAAACTGCAGCCCTGGAAATTTTGGTAAGATAGCTGACTAGGCAGGCATGCTACACGGATCCTCTACAACAAAGATATGAGAGACCGAATAAAACACAGATGAAAACCTGGAAAACTGAATTTCAGAAGGAAGGTTAGAGAAATGGATTGAGTGCTTCCTGTGAGAAGCAGCTGAGCAGGGATGGTGAGAGAGGAAGGCTGACTGGTGAACAGTTGACCAGACATGGCAGGATCATCCTGAACCTTTGTGAGCTGTACTGGCAATAGAAGGTGGCATGGCAGGACAGAGGTGCACAGGCGACTGGGAAGGTGCGATTCCTTCTTTGTCCCCACACACCCCCTGGTGACCAGAGGTGTGGCCAGCTCCCACTCTCATCTACCTCCAGCACAGCTTCTGCTCTCCAGAAGTTTGGAGCCACACCAATGGGAGGCGGGGCCCAGCTGCTCTGATTCTGTGTACCATTTTGGTACCTGGATTCAGGTTGGCTCAGCTTGGGACCTATAGAATGCACAGAGCCACCAGACCAGCATTTAACCAGTCACCCTGCTCTCCACTGCTCTGTGGTCCTAACAGACACTGAAACTAGCTCTATCAGAGGTCTACTTCCGGAATGAGTGCCCTGAATATAGATAACACTGAGGCAGACAGGAACTCCATGTAGGGCCAGGAACTGAACTCCATTGTCACAACCTTCCCACAGCCACCTCATGAGCTCCTTAGCTTTCAGGAGCCACCCAGACTTTTCCCCCCTCTGGGTCCAACAGCTACACTGTTTTTGTTTTTGTGTTTGTTTTTTTCCTTTTGTTGTTTCATTATTTTTGTCTGTTCTTACTCCTTCTTCTTCTCTTTCATTCACTTGAATTTTATCCTTTCTATTTCCACTTTTGTTTTGCCATGTTTTCTTCTGTTTCTCATTTCCCCCTTTTGATCTTTCTTTACTACTCTTTACTCTCTTTTTCTCACTTCCTCTCTCGCTAGTTTTTTCTTTCTTTTAAAAAAAAATCTTCCTTTTATTTTTCTTCTACAATTCCAATTTCCTGTCCTTCTTTTGTCTTTATAGTTGTTATATTCTGTTTTTCTTGTTGCTGATTTTTTTTTTTCTTCCTCTTTATTGTTTTTATTGTTTCACTGTTGGCTGCTTATTTATTGAGTTACGTTTTCTTGTATGTGTGTGTGTACGAAGGGTCTTCTTTTTCCCACCCAAAAGGAGACAACAACCATACCATACCCATACAACCCTGCCACAACTGTCCCCTCTGCAGCTCCACCCACTGGGAAAGAGCCAATACCAGCTCATATATCATCTGATCATGGACAGACATCAGTCAGCACCAGCCAAACCCACCCTAAATTGAGATGCACAAATGGTGTAAAAAACCAAACAAACCAGTGTACATGCTTACCCGCTTCCATTCTCTAACTACACTCACAGGAGAGAGTTGGTAAGACCCTAAGAACACATCAACATACAATTACCAATTAAATACAAATATGACAACCCTACAATGCCCGGAAACAACAGACAATTTAGCTCATAAGAAGAAACAAGAGATAATAGCTCCAACAAATAACCAAGATGCAGAGTCAGATAATGTTTCTGAAGAAGAAAAGGTAATGGAACTAACTGGAAAAGAATTCAAAATAATGATATTTAGGTACCTTCAAGGACTGACAAAAAGATCGAGGAAAGTAAGAACACAGAAAAAAGTTTAGAAGAATTCAGAAAAATACTACAAGAATAAACAGACAAAATAAATGCTAATTTTGAAATAATACAAAACCTGCCATTAGAAATCTACACGATTAATACTAAGATTTCAGAAATGGACAATACATTGAATTGAAAGGGCAAAAGAGAAGATTTGAAGCAAAGGAAGCACAAATGACTGAGCTTGAAGATAAATCTCTCAATACTAGCATGGTAGAAGAACAATTAGAAAAAAAGAACCCAAAGAAAGCTTAAGAGTTACTGTGGGACACCATGAAGAGGAACAACTTATGGGTGATCAGAATTCCAAAACAGAAGACATAATAAAAAGCACAGGGAACACTATCAAAGAGTTATTGGAAGAAAACTTCCCTATCATCATGAAAGATGAGAAGATAAGAATAAAAGAAGCTGAATAAACTACAAACAGGATAGATAAACAAACAAACAAACAAAATCATCAAGACATATCATAATAAATCTTTCCAAATACAGTGACAAGGAAAGAATCCTGAGAGCAGCTTGGGAAAAATAAACTTACTTAACCTGAAATTATCATACATGACATCACCCCCCATAACTCAATCCAGTTATGGAAGTATTTAAAGTAACACAAGCCTACCAGACTGAAAATAGGGAACCAGACATACCAATGTATAATGAAGTCAGCTGCAAAGCAAAAAGAGAGAATAGTGTAGACAGAGAATTCTCAATTGGCAAAGAAGTCACATAGATTTCAAGATAAAACAGACTTTTAAACAGGGAAAAAATTTTAAAATGACAAGGTAACTTCAAGAAAACTAATATACTTGCACATCAAAATTTAAAAAGAGGAAAACTGAAATATTCAGCAAACACAAAAGAAATGAAAATGAAAAGAAAACCCACAAGCAAAATGAAGTCAGTACAGGAAATGCTAGGGAATAACGAAATCAGCAGCACCACAAAAAAATCAAAACAAAAAACACCCAGCAAAACACAGAAATAAAATCAGACCTACCGATAATTATACTGAATATAAACAGATTAAATTTACCCGTCAAGAGACAATGAGCAAAATGGAGAAGAAAACAGAATACTTCAATGTATTGTCTTCAAGAGACACATTAAAATGATGGAAACAGCCTAAATTCCTATCAACAGAAGACTTGTTAAATAAACTTTGGTTCATACACACAATGCAACGCTGATGACTAGTGATGATTCTTCAAAACAACTCACAACATGTATGAACCCAGAGAACATTATGTTGCGTGGAAATTCGTCTACCACAAAAGGACAAATATTGTATGAGACCAATGTTGTAAAAATAAAAGGTTTTCTTGGTAAAAGAAGCTATCTATGATGGTTACGGGGGGGTGAGCGGGGGGAAGCGGGGAGGGAGACTTATTCACAGGCTAGAGGACAGACACATAGTGAACATGGGTGAGAGGGCAGGCAATGCACAAGAGGGTGGTTGTCGAGGATGGATGGGGGTAGCGGGCGACAGACAGAGGAGTGTAAGAGTAAAAGTGAATAGACGTAAATATTGTTAATCATTGGTACAAGGGGGGGGTTGCAATTATGGAATGAAGCAAAGTATATGACTTATAGAATGTGAAGCTGATGATCTGCTCTGTAAACCTTCACTCAATTCATAATAAAAGGTTAAAAAAAAGAAACTGCAGCTCTGAAAGTTCTTACATCAAAAATGTTCTTTTTTGTAACTGTGCCATGGGTCCTCATTCTCTGTAAATCAGCCAACAGACTTGACTGCATCAATACAACAAAAACACTAGTAGAAAGACAGTAGATACAGAGACTAATGAATAATACTAACAGATAATCTTAAATCTAACTTGAAGAACACTGTCACAGGAAAGCTACGGGATGGCTAACATGTTAATTCACAAGATGGCTCCTCTAGAGGACCCTGGGGCATTTAGCTTGGAGGGACCTATGTGTTCCTCCTCTAGGCTCCTTGGGTGGACCTGGCTTTGTTAAGGAGCAAAGTGGTAGGAATCTGCTAGGTAAGCTGCCCCTCCCTTCTACTTCATATCAAATCCACTGCTGAATTATGTTCCACTTTTGGAGCATTATAGACTGTGAACAGTAACGAAGGGGTTAGGGGGATAAAATGAAACCTGACTCAGGAGAGGGAAGATGACTGCAGATGCTTTCCAGCCACAAGGATTGTCATTATTACCTGGGAGGGTAGGTACATGTGTGAGACAGAAAAACATGAGGCAGACACACTGACAGGAAGGAAAGCCTTGAGTAATCATAAAAATCAGGCTTCTCACCTGGTTAAAGTCCTTCTGGAATCAAACTCCAAAGGTGTGGAAGATGTGGATCCTGAGGGTGCTGGGGGTTGCAGAGCAGAAAATCTGTTTAAACTGGAAGCACTTGACCGTAAGGCATCTACAAGAGTTCAAGATTCAGAAAAAAATACAAATCACAGGGCTAAAATACAGATTCTCATTCATCTGCCTTCTTGGGGCGGGGACCGAGGTTTGAATTTCTAATAAGCTCCAAGGTGATACCCCAGCCGTGCGCCACAAACCATACTCTGAGAAGCAAGGTGTTAGAAGGAATTTGTATATAAAAGTTAGTTTAGGAATCTCCACTCATTACAACCACTTGCTTCTTTCAAAACAATTCATTTATCCTGGTTAGTGCATAGCGTTGTTGTTGTTACGTGCTGTTGAGTTGGTTCCAACTGAAAGCAACTCTATATAGGGTTTCCAAGGAGCACTTGGTGGGTTTGAACTGCTGAACTTATGGCTTAAAGTTCAGTGATGATCCTACAGCACCACACTAGGAATCCAGTGCATAGGGTAGGAGTGGTAAATTGGGGAGAAGGAAGGCGAGAAACAGGGATACAAGCAAAAACAAAACAAAATATTGCACTTTGAGAAATATACTCTATGCTATGATCCGTAGCATAGTGGTTACAAATCGGGCTGTGAACCTCAGGTTCAGCAGTTCGAAACTACCAGCTGCTCCGTGGAAGAAAGATGAGGCTTTCTGCTCCCGTAAAGATTTACAGCCTCGGAAACCCTGTACAGGGTCACTAAGAATCGGAATCAACTCCACGGTACATCACAGCAACAACAACATGATCCCATTTATGTAAACTTATGTGTGTGCAATGAAGTGAACACAGTTACGTGTCCCCCAACATCTACGGTAAGTTTTGTGACATACGCTAGTCTGCGATTTGAATATTACGTGAACACCAAATAGGCAGTCCCAGAGTATGAACAAGTTCTGTTCCGAGGTCTAACTTTAAGTGAAACTTGTATATACGTTAGAACGTTTTGGTACGGATGCTATCTAATGTCAGTTAGTCAAACGTTTGTCTTAGCATACATTGTATCTTTTTAAGCATAAAAAAAGCATTAAGGAAACATTTCCAGATACACTAAAGTAATAATAATCATAAAATTTTGATATGTGAAAGTGATCATAACATTTTCAGATCTAAGGTCAAATGTCTGAAAATCCAACTTTTGAGAAAGATTTTGAAAAATATTTTAATTCAATTCTTTATTCCTTTATAACTTCCAAAAATTAAATTCTTCTGGGTATGAATATTATTTTTCTCAGCACAGTGCATTTCTTTTTCAAGTTTGGGGGGTCTCAGTAATTTCTTTAATTATACTGACAAGAGAAACCTAATAGTTTAAGTCTTAATTAAATAGATTAACAGAATTAAATTCTAAAAAAACATATTTAAAATATCTCAGGATTCTTACTGAGAAGGAGCTCTTCATATTTCAGGTTAGTCAAAGAGCTTTACCTACCCACTGCCACAGAACAGAATTTGACACATAGCAACTCTGAATAGGGCTTCTGAGGTTGTAAATCTTTATGGGAGCAGAAAGCCTCCTTGTTCTGCTTGGAAATGGCTGGGATGTTTGAATTGCTGACCTTGCAGTTAGCAGCCCAATGCATAACCCACTACATAACCAGGGCTCCTTACAGAGGGTTAAGAATGCCAATAAAAGTGTGGGGTGACGAAATCCTTTCTTAAAAGTTATTATGAATGACTGTGTGACTTGCCTTGTGAGGTGGATGGATGCTAACAGACCATATTCAAGTTATCCTGATGGTAACTCCATACTTACCAGTCTCACTTGCCTTTGCCCCACCACTGCTGCCTTTCCCCCAGCTTCCCAGCTGTGCTTTAGGTACCAGCTGAATTTTATCATCAATTGTGGGCTGTAACACAAATGACCAAAAGTCAATTATAGGGTATATTTAAAAATGACAGCTTTTTTATTTCAATGCAAGAGAATCTGAAGTACTTCCTTGGAATCTAGGCTCCAAAAACCACAGGTCTTCCAATTTAAGATGATGTGCTAGTGTGCTAAATGTAAGCAGTTTTTAATGAGTCCCCTTATACACTAATGCCCAGTGATTTCAAAAGGAAAAAGAATACAGAGGCATACCTAGGATATATTGCAGGTTTAGTTCCAGAACACCATAATAAAGCAAATAGTGCAGTTAACTGAATCACGACTTTTTTTTTTTTATTTCCTAGTAAGTACACTATACTGTAGTCTATTATGTGTGCAACAGCATTATGAAGATGTATGAAATATAGTGAGAATTACTAAAATGTGACACAGAGACAAGATGAGAACAGATACTGCTGAGAAAATGGTGCCAAGAGACTTGCTTGATGCAGACGGTTGCCATAAACCTTAAATTTGTAAAAAACACACCAGTATCTGCAAGGCACAATAAAGCGAAGTGCAATATAATAAGGTAGGCCTATACAGTTATACTAAAGTAGCTCATGAACTTCTTCATGTGATTGTCAGAAATCAAGCAGACAGAAACAGGGCAATATACAAAAAACTGGCATTTCAGCAAAGCTTAATACTGACTGGCACTGGGTGGGCGGGAGGCGGGAGAATGAAGATTTAAAAATGACAATAAGGAGTTTCTGTTACAGAGTTTCTGTTTGGAACTAGATAGCGGGTACTGGTGTCAAACATTGTGAATATACTACACTGTACACTTCCAAAAGGTTAAAATAGCAAATTTTATGTCATATAATATTTTAACACACACACAGAAATATAAGGAGAGAAGAAGATAGGAAAACACTAGCCATGAAAGCTCAACGAGTGAAGTTTCCTGATCTCTTTCATATTTAACCCTTCAATCACAACTCTGATATAGAAGAATTGCCTTATAATAAACAGCATTATAAAGCACAGTTGCCTTGCTATGTAGGAATCTCTACCATTTAATAATGAATTTGTTTAATGGTTTGAACTTCTTCTAGGTTATTTATATAAAATACTTATAGTTATCTGAATACACCAGCTTCTTAATAAATGATTTATGTACTTTTCAAAATAATAAGGTAATGTTGGAGGCATAATACAAAGATTATTCTTTTACCAGTGTCCATGCACAGAACTATAACAAAATATTAACAACACAAATGTTATTTATAAATAGTGATGTTATTTTCAAGATACAGGGGCTGATGTTGGAGGAGTTCTTTAAACATAAGGTTTTGATTAAAATGGTCTCTTTCTGGGAATGAACGGGGGTTGGGGTGTGAGGGGTTGGGAATTGAGTTCTACTCAACAAAGAGAATTCCTGGTCAGTGACAAAATCAACCGGAAGAGTTTGTAACAGGAAACTAGAAGAGAGCAGGGTTCTAACTAGTCACCAAGAAAGATCCACAGGAGGTATGCTCTTGAAGCAACGCTCTGACGAAACCATGAAGATTTAAATGACGTAACTCACCTGTTTTCCAATATTCTCAAATTATTATTATTTTTTGACCCATTATCGTCTTCCAGTTGATTATTTTCACTTTAGCTTTAAATGCTTAACCTACTGGCAGGTTGCCAATTTTCAGAAATATGGAAAATGTGTTGCAAGTAAAGATCAAACTAGACTTGCAAATGATTTATTTGCAAAACCTAATGGATTGTAGCAGTTTCCACTGCACAAAACTGAATTCAATATTTTTACATTCTCCAAAGTTATTCACCCAACTCACAGTCATTAACTTCTGCCAAAAATATCTGCCAGGAGAAAATTCTTTCTTCTTACTGCCCATGGATTCTCAAGAGTGGAAAGTAGACAATATTAAATATTTATTATAAAATGATTTTAAGTAGGTCCTTTGCCATTTCTTCTAGGCCGTGCATAAGGCAAACCCATTAATTCCTTTCATGATTAGACTTAAACAGGTAACTGCTTCTTTCCCCACAATTAAGTATAAAAGTTTGCAATTGACTAAGAAGACAAAAGGATCGTTGTTATAATTTCTCTCATGTTAAATATTGAATAATGCTAAGAATTAACATGGAATGCTGGTGTGGTGCTGTGGGATAAGGCACTGGAACGCAAGGTTGATTTGAACCACAAGGTTGGCGGTTCAATCTCACCAGTTGTTCCTTGGAAACCCTGTGTAGGGTTGCTATGATTCGGAACTGACTCGACTCGAGGGCACTTAACAACAGAAATTAATATTCCTCATTAGTTACTTTCTCTTTAGTAAGCCTTCAAAAAAAAAAGGGCTAATGCCAAGAAAACTATATCAATAGTGACCTGCAAAAATGTACCTGCAGAAGTAAAAAGAAGAGGGAAAAGAAAAAGAAAAAAAAAAAAGTATGCTCATACAATTTGATGAACTTGACCCACACCTATGGAAGCAGTAGCTCAAAAGAGGGAGCGGGCCCTTGCAGCAAGAATCATTCCCACCCCCTCCTACACACAGAGTGGACAGGGATGGGCAACTTGGACATTGGCTACCCAAAAAGGGGGGTGGGGGGCTACAAAGGCAAGAAGTGACTGGCTTACAAGCTTTCAAGAGGGAACCTAGATCCAGAGGGCCTGGAGAAAGGTAGAATCTCCAGTGAGTAGTATTCAATCTGTCTAGGTGGCGCTGATGCAATGAAATCCAGATAGGTGTCTTGTGATACAATAGTGAATAATTGTTATCAGGACTGACTGTGAGGGTTGGAAATGTAAAGGTAGACATTTTATAGCAAGGAGGGGAGTGATTAACTTTTCAGTCTAGGAGCGGAGGTCCCTGGGACTGTCAAGGGAGAGGAGCAGAGAGCGGAACCCTACCCAGAGAAGCAATGATGCCTGAAATGGAGCCAAAGATGATGATGTGGAGCGATGGAGCAGCTGGAGATTTTAGATCCAGAGAGGGAGAGCCACTGTGTGCTGAAGACCTGAGGGACACGGGGGAAGGATTGCATGGAGGGGATTGTAACCATGGCAATGTGACGATATACAATAGAATGAATGTAAAAGTAATATTCTCCCATGTAAACTATCACATAATTCACAATAAATCATTAAAAAAAAAAAAAAAGTACCTGCATCAAAAACCAATCCTCCATAAAAGAAACAATGTGAGAATCTTAGATGAATAAGAAATAACTTTGAGACTCAGGCTTTGGGATTGCTGTAAATTATTTTTTCAATGTCATACTCACCTTAGTGATTTTCAGGAATTTTGAGGGGTCCAGTACCCGACTGTTCTTGGCCCCTTGCACAGTGTTCCAGCCCCCTTCGTCCACTCTCTGGACACCTGCAGGAAGAAGAGAGTGTGCTATAGTCATTTTCTCAAGTCAGTTTAGAACTGAAAGAGCAAGCAGCATTTTCAACTCAAGTGAAAAAAGACCAAGAGAGCTGTTTTGGCACTGCTATAGTCTAACATTTGATGCTTTTGAGTTGTGGTGTTGGAGAATACTTAGTGCCATGGGCTGCCAAAAGAACCAATAGATCTTGGAAGAAGTGCAGCCAGAGTGCTCCTTGGAGGCCAAGATGGCCAAACTTGCCTTATTTTTTCTCTATGGAACACCTCTATCTGACAGTTTCACTTAAATGATTATTTGATGGGTTTTGCCATCAGTAACATGTACAGGGCCTTGGTCTCTCCTATTAAGTGAAAGGCATTCAACAAATATTTGTTGTATAAATAAACAAAAGAGCACTAAACTTTTCTAATCTTCATATACTTCTGGATTTTCTTTGTGCTAGTTAATTTGTGGAGTTCTGGTGTGGCACTGTAGGATAAGCACTTGACTGCAAAGGAACCGCAAGGTTGGCAGTTCAAACTCATCAGCTGCTCCTCAGGAAACCTATACAGGGTCGCTATGAGTCAGAACCGACTCAACAGCACTTAGCCACAACAAGAAGTCAATCTGTAGTGCTGCAGGATAAGTTCTGGACTACCAATCACAAGACCGCCAGTTCAAATTCACCAGCTGCTCCTCAGAAAAGACTTGAGGGCACTTAACAATCAAAATGACTAATCATGAATTCTTTTTCTTGTGACACTTACATTCTACTTCTCTTTTCACTTGCTTTTTATGTGTGACTCCTTAAAGAGTTTATTTCTTCCCTTTAGCTTCCTGTGGATATCCTCCATGAATCTGATTTTCATTTCCTTTTTTTTCTCAGTCTTGTCATTAGGTGCTGTCGAGTCGTTTCTGACTCATAGCGACCCTGAATAGGGTTTCTGAGCAGCAGTTGGTGGATTTGAACCACTGACCTTGATGTTCAAATCAATCTTGAGGTCCAGTGCTTATACTATGGCGTCATAACTCTCTTATTTTAGTTCAACAATAAAAGTCATTACCTAAAAGGCACTGTGGTGAGGAAGGTGAGTTAAATATTGCGTCCTATGAAACTGAAAAGGAGCTCTGGTAGCATAGTGGTTACGAATTGGGCTGCAAACCTGAAGGTCAGCAGTTCAAAACTGCCAGCTACTCTGTGAGAGAAAGATGAGGCTTTTTGCTCCTGTAAAGACTTACAGCCTTGGAAACCCTGTACAGGGTCGCTATGGCTCAGAATCTACTCGATAGCACTTACCAACAATAATAACGTGAAACTGAAAAGTACTTTCTTCCCTACAGGATTTGTCTCTCATAACAACTTCACTAGAAGTTCTACTGTGTCAGTGACAAGCAATACAAAGAGACAGCAGCTGTTGAGTTGCCTCCAATTTATGGCAAACTATGTAACAACAGATTGAATGCTATCTGGTCCTATATCAGCCACGTTTGCTGGCATGTCTGAGTCCATCATTATGGCTACTGTGCGTATCTGTCCTATCAAGGGTCTCCCTCACCCTTGCTGGTCCTCTGCTTCACCAAATATGATGTCCACCTTCAGAGGTTGATTTTTCCTGTGGAGTTCTCCAGAGCAAACAAATTGGTCAATATTCTGTTATAATGCATAAGGTTTTTATTGATTCACAAGCTAATTTTCTGAAACAGATTAAGGATTTCTTCCTAGTCTGTCATAGTCTGGAAGTTCTGTTGAAAGCTGTCTACCATGGCTGATCCAGGTGGTATTTGATATACAAGTAGCATGGTTTCCAGATCACAGCAAATAGTAATAATCATTAGGTGATAAATTGAGCATATACTAAGTGTGCGAGGCTCTGCTAAATGCTTTACAGTCATATGACCTCATTAGGTCACGTCCGCCTCACATAGATCCTTCATTCTACAGAATGAGTGATTTATGTAAGGGCTGTACACTTAGAAGTAGAGGAGCTAAAGCTCAAACCCAGACACTTTGGCTCCACAGTATATGCTCTCAACCCTCACAGTATATGGCCAAACCAAATCCCAGATCACTTAACTCTACAGTTGAAGCCCTGTGGACATCTAAAAATGAACAGGCTCAAAGGAAAAATGATCAATTCCCTTCTGAAAAAAAAATTCCTTTCAACATTCCTAGCCTTTTCAATGGACTCTAGGTGTGGCACTGTAGGATAAGAACTGGACTGCGAACCACAAGGTCCACAGTTCAAAGCCACTTGATGGCAATTAACAACAACAATGTCTTCTCATGGATTATTATTTTCTCAGGTGGAAAATGCCTTTTATTTCATCTTTTATAGTTCTTGTATTGGTTTCTTCATTTCTGCTTTTTATTACTATCAACTCTCACCTAGAATTTCTCAATAGAAACATTGCTGAAGTTAGGGCACCTCTTTAATTCATAAAACGAAAATCAATTGGATTTTATTTATATACAAGGGAGATTCACTTTGAATCCCCTTTGTACCTCAGCATAAGGAGCCCTGGTGGAGCAATGATAAAGCACTCGGCTGCTAATTGAAAGGTTTGTGGTTTGAACCCACAGCAGCTCCATGGGAGAAAGACTTGGTGATCTGTTCCTATAAAGGTTACAGTCTAGAAAACCCTATGGGACACTTCTGTCACTTGGGGTTGCTATGAGTCAAAATTGAATTTGTGGCACCTAACAACAACAAAGCATGACATTATTCCTTTACTCAAAAACTTAAAATTGCTCCTTAATGTTTATTAGCTCAAGTCAAAAGTTCTTAATCTGGCCCCATACTTACATTTCGCTTTTCCTTCAGAACATTTAAAAGTTTGTTCTAATTATTTATTCCCTTTCACATGTTCATTTCAGTTTCATGACTAAAATTCTTCTTCCCTTTCAAAATACCAACTACCCTTCAACACAAAGTTCTAGCACCCTTTTCTTAAGTTGAGATTTCTTCCAGTTTTCTCTTTTCTCTAAATTTGACAATCTGTGCTGAGTAAATTTCATAACTGATAATATTTACATTTGTGTGACAAATATTCCCTGTATTAGTTTGGCATCCTAGATAGCCTAATAGCTTCTAAAGGGAGGAAACTATCTTTCACTGCTTTTTATATTTCTCATCAATATTGAGTATATAGAAGATGCTCAGTAAAGTCTTACTAATTACTGACTTTGAAACAGTTAAAGAAATTATGTTTAGTTCCAGATTCTCTATGTCAACTTGATCATGTCTCAGGGTGAAAATGCTTCATTTCTTCCTTTGGGCTATTCTTTTGGATCTCACTTGACAGTAAATAGAGTAAATAGAGAATTTTCACATCTGTCTTCCAAACTTCCAGGGTTCTTTAAAACCTGGTAGGCACTGTCTCTCACCTGGTCTTCTCTTCTCTTTTGTCATGAGCTGCTGGACCTTCCTTTGCTCTTCTTGTTCTTCTATTTTAGCCTCTTTGTGAATCTGTTCAATAGTCTTGGGGCCTTGATCAGCTCTCCGAGATACCCAATTACACTATGAAAATAGAAAAGAGAGTCAACAGCCAGATGGCAACAACTAAAAATAAAAATGATGATTTTTTTTCAGACCAGTATTTTATATTTTTCAATGCTAAAAATTACTAAATACTCTGGAACTATGGTAGTTTCTTGTACCTTTGCAGATTAGATTTAAGGAATTAAATTCTTCTCAAACTAATGTATATGGAGGAATCCAGTAGACAAGACATAAAAAGAACAGATAAATAAGTGACTGTCCTAATTTACTTTATTATTATTTTTTTATATGTGAAAAGAGGAGAGAAAAGACGAATCAAGACTATAAGGACTCCTTGGCTTTGCCTTGCCCACTCAGTTTCTACCCCACTCCTGGGTTCTAAATCAAGGTGATTCACACTTTTCTCCTGCCATGTCACAATTACGACATTCTACACCAAGTACCACACCACAAAACAACAAGCTGAGGACAGTGAGGATAAAACACAAAGTAATTTTACGCTTCCCTTTCCTTCCTAGCTTCAGGCTCAATATCTGATAACAATGAAAGTGCTTGAAGACATGGGTGAAGAGTCTATATTGATTTACGTTAGCTTAGAGGTAAGTACAATGCTCCACTCCTACTCATAAGGTTTTCACTGGCTAACCATTCAGAAGTAGGCCACCTCTCCATATTCCTAGTCTGTCTTAGTCTGGATGCTCTGCTAAAAAACTGTCCACAATGGGTGACCCTCCTGGTATTAACAATATTAGTGGCATAGCTCCCAGCATCACAACATGCCAGCCACCAGAATGACACACTGACAGACAAGATTATGAATAGCTCCAGAATACTGTCAGATACAGTGCTAGAAGAGGAGCCCCTCAGGTTGGAAGGCACTCACATAAGGACTGGGGACGAGCTGCTTCCTTAAAGTAGAGTTAACCATAATGATGCAAATGGAGTAAAACTTTCAGGATACAACTCAAAATGAAGGAAATAGTTTAAACATCCATTAATAATTGGAACCTGGAATGTAGGAAGTATGAATTTAGGAAAATTGGAAATTGTCAAAGTGAAATGGAACACATAAAGATTGATATCCTAAGTATGAGTGAACTGAAATGGACTGGAATTGGTCATTCTGATTCAGACAATCACATGGTTTACTATGACAGGAATGACAAATTCAAGAATAGTTTAGCATTCATCATCAAAAAGAAAATTTCAAGAGGTATCTTGAAGCACAAGGCCATCTGTGGTAGGGTAATAGCCATATGTCTACAAGGAAGACCAGTTAATAAATTTAAATTTACACACCAACTACTAAAGCCGGTGATGATGAAATTGAAGAATTCTACCAACTTCTTCAGTCTGAAATTAATCAAACATACAATTAAAATGTATTGATAATTACTCGTGATTGGAATGTGAAATTAGAAACAAAGAGGAAGGATCAATAGTTGGAAAATATGGCCTGGGAGATAGAAATGATGCTGAGATCGCATGACAGAATTTTTGCAAGATAAATGGCTTATTCACTGCAAACACTTTTTTTAAACAACATAAAAGGTGATTATACACATGGACTTTAACAGATGAAATACACAAGAATTTAATTGACTACATCTGTGGGCAGAGACTGTGGAAAAGTTCAATATCATAAGCCAAAAAAGGCCAGGGGCAGACTGTGGAACAGACCGTCAATTGCCCATATGCAAGTTCAGGCTGAAGCTGAAGAAAATTAAAACAAGTCCACAAAAGCCCAAAACATGACCTTGAATATATCCCACCTGAAGTTAGAGACCATTTGAAGAACAGATTTGATACATTCAACACTAACGACTAAAGACCAGAAGAGATGTGTGTGGGATGACATCAAGAACATCATACAGGAATAAAGCAAAATATCCTTAAAAAGGCAGGAAAGAAGGAAAATTCCAAAATGGATGTTAGAAGAGACTTTGACCCTTGCTCTGGAGTGTAGACATGTTAAAACAAGTAGAAGAAACGAGGCAGTCAAAGACTTGAATAAAAAATTTCAATGATCAGCTCAAGAACACAAAGTCAAGTATTATAAAGAAATGTGCAAAAGCTGGAGTTAAAAACCAAAAGGGAAGAACATGGTTAGCCATTTTTCAAGTTGAAAGAACCAAAGAAAAAATCAAGCCTTAACTTCAAATACTGAAGGATTTTATGGGCAAAATATTAGATATGCAGAAAGCATCAAAAGAAGATGGAAGGAACACACAGACCCATTGTACCAAAAATAAATGGTCAATGTTCAACCATTTCAAAAGGTAGCATATGATCAAGAACTGATCATACTGAAGGAAGAAGTCCAAGCTGTATTGAAGTCATTAGCGAAAAACAAGGCTCTGGGAATTGATGAAATACAAACTGAAATCTTTCAACAAACTAATGCAGCACTGGAGGCACTCATTCATCTATGTCACGAAATCTGGAAGACAGCTACCTGGCCAACTGATTGGAAGAGATCCATATTTGGGCCTGTTCCAAAGACAGGTGAACCAATGGTATGTGGGTATCAATGGATAATACCATTAATATCACATGCAAGTAAAGTTTTGTGAAAGATAATTAAAAACTGGGAAGTGCCAGAAAGTCAAGTCAGATTCAGAAGAGACTGCAGAACCAGCGATATTATTGCTGACATCAGATGGATCTTGGCTGAAAGCAGAAAATACCTGTGAAAGCAGAGAAAGATGTTTACCTGTGTGTTATTGACTATGCAAAGGCTTTTGACTGTGTCAATCATGACAAGCTACAGATAACACTGTGAAGAATGGGTATTTCAGAATACATAATTGTGCTCATGCGGAATCTGTACATAGATCAAGAGGCAGTCATTGGAACAAAACAAGAACATAGTGAATGGTTCAAAATCAGGAAAGGTGTGTACCAGGGTTGTATTCTTTCCCACACTTAATCTGTATGCTGAGCAATCTGAGAAGCTGAGTTATATGAAGAAAAATGTGGTGTCAAGATTGGAGGAAGACTCATTAATAAGCTGTGATAAGCAGATGATACAATCTTGCTTGCTGGAAACAAAGAGAACCTAAACTACTTATTGATGAAGACCTAAGGTTACAGCCTTCAGTATGTGTTGCACTTAAATGTACACAAAACAAAAATCCTCACAACCAGACCAATAAATAACATCAAGATAAATGGAAAAAAGACTGATGTTATCAAGACTTCATTTTGTTTGAACCACAATCAATACTCATGGAAGTAGCCATCAAGAAATCAATTGGCATACTACATTAGGCAAATCTGCTGCACAAGACCTCTATAAAGAATTCAAGAGCAATGATGTCTATTTGAGGACTCAGGGGCGCCTGACCCAAGCCATGGTATTTTCAACAGCCTCAAACTCATGTGAGCATTGAAGAACTGGTGCATTTGAGTTATGGTGCTGGAGAAGAATATTAAAAGTACCATGGGCTGTCAGAAGAACAAACAAATCTGTGCTGGAAGAAGTACAGCTAGATGCTCCTTAGAATCCAGGATGGCAACACTTTGTCTCTCATGCTTTGGACATGCTATCAGAACAAACTGTCCCTGGAGAAGGACATTACGCTTGGTAAAGTGGAAGGTCAGTGGAAAAGAGGAAGTTCCCCAATGAGATGGATTAGCACAGTGGCAGCAGCAATGGGCTCAAATGTAACAACAATTATGAGGATGGCGCAGGACCAGGCTGGGCAGTGTTTCGTTCTGTAATACATAGGGTCGATATGAATTGGAACCGACTCAAGGGCACCTAACAACAACAGAGGCAAGGATGGAAAACACATTTATAGCAGCATGCAAATTCTGACCAACTGGTACTGGCTTTGGTTATAAGAAGGATCCTGAGCCATCCTCAATGCTATCTGACCTGGGTGCAGGAAAGAGAAAAGAGGAGGCCAGTAATCACCTTTTCCAATGCAGAGTTGGCTATCGTATACTCCTAATAGCAGTTAGGCTAAGAAAAGAGAAAACAAGATGGTAGTAGTAAAAACTCAACCTGGTATGAGAAAAGAGGAAGAAAAAAGAAGCAGGATAGAGGGGTTATAGGAAACAACAGGAAACAAAACTTAACACCAACATTTCCTATTCGTTGGGCATGTCACATAATTACATAATTATCTGACTGAATCAATATAACAAATCTCAAGGTAGGCAATAACCTGAGAGATTAAAAACATAAGGCTAGGAGAAATTAAATGTATTCATTATGAAGAAGAGGTTCTCTGATTTACTTAGAATTAGCTTATAATGATTAAACTTAATTGACAAAAGTTTGAATTCACAATGGATGATTTTAAAACTGCAATGTGGTTTGATAATCAGGGTGCAGAGAATAAACAGGAAACAGTCAGGGATATACCATACAACGTTGTTCTCCCATGGAAGTTTGCCTATTTGAGGTCTGACAGTTCTGAAGCAAAAGCACTTAAATTCTTACAGATGTAAATACTGGAATCCCTTCCTCAGACCAATTCCTTAAAAGGAATGATATTTTTCTACTTACCAGCCTTAGGTCTATTACATCCTGAAGCATGAAACGAATTCTAGATGACGTTTTTCTTTCTTTCACAATTTTCTCCATCTGATTAAAATACTGGTCCATACGAGGCTACAAGAGACAAACATTAGTATTTCTGGCTGAGGAATTCAAATATAATTTTACTATGTAGAAATTTTAAATGGCCTAGGAAAAACAATTTCTAGCCAAAAGGTAATGTGGCATAATTTTTAAATGATCATATTATGCTCCAAAATGTAGACTACATTTTCCAGATTCCCTGGCAGTTGACGGTGGTCAGGGTTTGGGCTGACAGAATTTAAGTGGAGATGTCCTATGGCAGCTCCCTGGAACGTTCTGTCAGACAGAAATGGCTCTGTCCTTTGCACTGCTGTTGTTAAGGGTAAGGACAATTTTAGTGATGGTAGAATATTATGCTGGAAGGATCTGGATTCTCCATTTCTGAGTCATCATAATTATTTCAGACCTCTGAGCCACCAGAACAACCTTAAGACTTCTTATCACCAAACTTTTGCTTACATCAACTAAAGAAAAATTACTTCAGTCTTGTATAGTTACTGCTACTGGGGTTTTCTGTCAGAGTCAAACATAAAACCAGATGATTTAGATGTTATGGAACATTCCTGACATTTCTTTGAAACGTTTCTAATGTCTCCAACTCTTCTTTGGATATCATCACGTTATGTTTGAATTAAAATCTATTAAATAATGTATTACGTTATAGTTTGATAACTATTTCATTAACTGAAACATAAACTTCTTAAGGAAGCTACTGGGTCTTCTTCATTTCTGCATCACCCTCAGGCTTGGAGCACTTTTCTCCCCTTACTTCTGCCCACAGTTTGGCCGTTCATTTCACAAATGATCAGTGAAATGAAGAAAACTGATGAGAGACACCTAACTGGAACAGCCCACAAACTGGCTTTTATAATTTGGGACCCCTTCCTCACCTCTGACTTTAATGAAATGTGTAAGAAGCATTATGGCCAAACACTGACAAGGAGATAAGCAACAAAAAAAGAACAAGAAACAGGCTAGAGTGATGGGTCATGATGGAACTCTTGTGGATCCTCCTGAGAGCCCTGCCGAAAGTCTGGGAGATGATGGAGTTTTACCTTTGCTTTCTCAAAATCCAGGTCTTTGCCAATGGTAGTGAGTAGGCGACACAGGCACTCCAGGGATTCTTCATCATGGTTTTTTAGTAGCTTCACCACACAGTCATGCATGATGGCCTCAGTCAGCATTTTGAGTTTAAAGAGCTCTCCAATAAACTTGATGTTACCGATGGATCTCCTCCGGGCTTTGTCCTTAGCTTCTTCCAGTTCGTCGTGAAGCCTTGTCCTTTCCTCTGGCTATTGTGTAAGGGAGAAAAACAGGATCAGGATCACGAAGGCTATATTGCACAATAGATGTTAAGAACATACAATTAGATTTATGGTCTCTACCCTTTACAGGGGTCCTAGTGCAGGTAAAGTACTGGATGGCTACCTTCATGTTGGCAGTTCAAACCCACCACCTGCTCCTTGGGAACCCTATACAAGATTGAATATAGGTTGGAACTGACTTGATGGCACACAGTAATCCTTTCTAGGGGTCAGAGGCCCCCTTTGAGAATCTAGAAATTATGAACTACATCTAAAAGTTTGCATCCATTTAAGACATTTCTAGAGCTCAGCAACCTCTTTGAAATCTAGGTTTCTAAATCCCTAGCTTACAGGGTTTTGAGTTGCTCTAAAAGGAATGATGCATCCCCTAAATATCGATATAGTATCTCCCAATAAAAACAAGGAGTTCTGGTAGTGCAGTGGTTACGAATCAGGTTGCTAATCTCAGATCAACAGTTGGAAACTACCAAGGGTTCCACGGGAGAAAGAGGAGGTTTTCTGCTCCTGTAAAGATTTATAGCCTCAGAAACCCAGTACAAGGTCACTATGAGTAGGTACTGACTTGATGGCATTTAACAACAACAACACACAAAATCAAAGTCTATAGGCCTCTCTTTAGTAGTATGGATGACTGTAGCGGGCTGGCTTCATAAAACTTCTACTTGATAGCACTTACACACATAAGCAGTGTCGTCCTGTGACAATACTTACGGCACTGGCAGCCTCAAGTTCTTTCTGCTTCTTCTCAAAGACATCATCATCTGCTTTATCTTTTTCAAACTCCTTTTGGCAACGGTTCAGTAGCAGCTTTCGAAAATTCACTGTGTTACCAGGCTTGTCTGCCATGGGCACCTTCAGCTGCATCCAGATGGGAAAATGCAAAAGCAGAAACATTACTTAAAGACATTAAAATGTTCTTTCTCAAAATATCTGTTTTCTTTATTGTGCATAATAATGCTGACTGAACCACAGGAAAGCATTCTACAAGAGGTATACAACTGGCTTTAAGGTAATTCATAATTCAATGGCAAGATTGGTCTTGAACCTTAGCCAGAAATGGTACATATTTCTTCTATATAAACGTACTGTATTTGTTATGGTCATTCCACTTTGAAATTCATGTGACATCATTTTGACCATGCTGCTGCTTTTTTTTTTTTTTTTTAACTCGGTAGGGTTATTTTATTACTTTTGCTTTTTCTTACTACCATTGTAAGCAATTAAAGAAATAAGTAGAAATGGTGTCAGGCAAGGGAGAATTTCATGGCCATTAGACAACTGTTATGAGATCTTTATTTTAGATAAAAAGCAGACAGAGGGACATTTGAGGATTTCCTGAGATATCTTTTCCTCAGGGAAATGCTAGAATGCTGTAATGCACCTTGACTATCAATAACTATGTTTACTGACTATTTCTTATGTGTCAAATATCCCCACAAAAAACAAAACACTAGTGCTCCAGATGTTCAGTTGAATCAATGGCTCACTGCAGGTACATTCTTTTGATATACAGACAGACTCAGAATATCAGGGTGAGAACACTTGAAGGCAAGACGCCTACCAACTAGTTTCCCTACCAAATCCAGTAATGATTACTTTCTAGCATGCAATAGCCTGTATCTTCAAGGCTACTTAGAACCAATACCAAGACATTAAATAAATACCTCCCTGAACACAGTTTTGAGTAACTGTTGTGTAACATGACAAATTTCTTTTTACCAAGCGGCACCCAAAGTTCTGAAATGTACACAAGGTCTTTGCTTAATGGGACAAATGGGAAACTAGGTTTCACTGCATTTAATATTTTAGTTAATATTTTAGTAGGTTGCACACTACTATTTTGAACTATGTATGTTTTACATTTCAACATATAAAAAACAAAAATCCTCACAACTTGACCAATAAACAACATCTTGATAAACGGTGAAAATAGTGAAGTCATCACGGATTTTGCAATGAATGGCACTTAACCATTTCTCCCATAGCACTCTCTATTCAGCAGGGTTCACTGCAATGACCACACAGACAACTTAAGACACAATATATACAGTTATGGAATTTATTAGGGAAGCTAACAGGTTACAATTCAGGGTCAGAAATGTTCAGGACACAGTTCTTCAAGTCAGGACACAGCCTCAACACTCAACCATCCTCACAGGCAGGTCTTGCTCTGCTCTGTCAACATTACAAAGCTCTGTTAGGGCTGCTGATAAATGTCCACAGGGTACCCAACTTCATTGTAAGCTTCAGTCTGAAAGCACTCAGTTCTAGTTCCATGGACCAGCAAACTTAGCCACCCCCTCAATTAAGTGCCTGGAGGCACCTCATTCTGTAAGCAACCTGCCTGCTGTAAGTCACTCAGCTTTACTCCGTTGACTGGGAAGCCTACTGCTTGGTCTCTTGCTCTGGTTCTTGGTTCTACTGCTGTGGCTGCTGCTCCTCTGTCACTCTTTCACAGTGTCACAGCTTTCTGTTCCTGGGTTGAGGAGGTTCAATGTGCAGGGATCTCTGGATCCAGGGACTCATTCTACTCCTGACTCTTCTTTGATGGTGGTAGTGAGATCCCCCCCTTCTGCTTCTGAGATGACTCATTTTAAACCCACCATAGTGTTTCAAGTTTTTACAATCACAATTAACTCTGTTAACAATTACAACTGAATCATATCCTCCTGTCAGCATCTTCTCCCACCTTTTCTTACCCATCAGGAGGAGGTTATTTGAGGGGAGTTACAAAGACTGTGGGTAGAATAGTCACATGAAGTAATTCATTGCATTGCAGATTTCATTTGACTTGGATCCACAATTAATGCCCTTGGGAGCAGCAGTCAAGAAATCAAGCACAGTATTGCACTAGACAATCTGTTGCAAAAGATTTTTTTAAAGTGTTCAAAAGCAAAGCTGTCACTTTTAGGACAAAGGTGTGCCTGACCTATTTACAGTATTTTCAATTACTCCATATGCATGTGAAAGCTACACAATGAAAAGGAAGGTTTCTAAATTATGGTGGTGGTGAAGAATATGGAATATACAATCAACTGCCAGAAGAGTGAGCAAATATCTTGGAAGTAGTACAACCAGAATGCTCCTTAGAAGTGAGTATGGTAAGAACTTAGTCTCACATACTTTGGACATCTTACCAGAAGGGACCTGTCGCTGGAAAAGACATCATGCTTGGTAAAGCAGAGGGTCAGCAAAAGAGAAGAAGTGTCCCAATGAGATGGACTGACACAGTAGCTACAACAGTGGGCTCAAACAGAGCAATGATTTAAGGATGGCGCAGGACCAGGCAGCGTTTCATTGTGTTGTACACAGCACTGCTACCAGAACAGGCTCCAAAGCACCTAACAAGATTTTGCACTGATGGCACACTAATCTATGATCTATGAAAGACCACTTAACAAATCCAGTTCTAATCAACTAAGGGATAGTGTAACATTACACATTTCTTTTCTGTAGGAAATATTAACTTAGGAAGAGGGAAATATCAACAACTTTTAAAAAGAAAATCTGGCAACAACAAAGAAACTATAGATCATTTTTACCTAATATATGAACACACAAGAGTGCCCAAGAGTTTATCAGCCTTCAGAGACTGAAGTACTTCACAGAAGCAAAGGTTTTCAAAAGTAATAGTCAAGAGAAGATTCTATATTCTACTACATAAATTCTATATTCAACAACATAGGACAATGAACACCTACCTAATAGTGCACTGATAAAAAAAAATGCAAAATAAAACCAACAAGTATACCCAACAAACAGAATGTCATATAAGAGAGCACCTACATAGCATCAGGTTCCATAACAAACCAAAGCTTCTATTCATCAGCAGTTGCAGTCAATCTGCTTCTTTGCAGCAATAGGAATGAAAACTGTCAGCAAAAAGTCCTATGCAGCTTTACGGAATATTCACCAACTATATTAACACTAAGAACATAACTGAGAGATCAAAACAGTCTGTGCCACAATCAATTAGCCCTAAAGAACGTTTCCTGCAATACGGATGCATAGAAAATGGGGGGACTGTCAGCAACAATATGAAAATCCAAGTTACAGTCATATACTGATAGAAACCAGAGTTTATATGAATCTTTGTTTTTTAAAGGTCAGAAAGAAAAATGTAATTTGTGATGATAAGATCTAGCTTTTGCACCTTTTGTGTATATATTTAAAGAATTAGGTTAAGGCTCAGAAGATTTACTTACATGTTCTATAAATAACATCAATTCTTTTAACTCAAGTTTCAGTGTCATCATTTAAGATAAGAGGGGGAACAATACCTGTGTTTAACTTGGAAGGTAGGTTTTTACATCCAGTGAAAGAATATTTGGTACCAACTGAGAGGGAAGAAGTTTTCATCCTGTCCCCTCTGTATGCAGGGTTGATAGGGATGGGCAACTTAGACACTGGCTACCTAAAAACAGAGAGGCTATAAAGGCACGAAGAAGTCCAAGGTGCATTGAAGGAACTGGCAAAGAATAAGGCACCAGGAATTGATGAGGTAACAATGGAAATCTTTCAAGAAAGTGAGGCACTGTTGGAGGCACTCACTCCTCTATGCCAAGAAATTTGGAAGCCAACTATCTGGCCAACTGATTGGAAGAGTTCCGTATTTGTGCCCATTCCAAAGAAAGGTGACCCAACGGAATATGGAAATCATCGTACAATATCTTTGATATCCCACACAAGTAAAGTTTCACGAAAGGTAACAAAGGAACAGCTGCAAGCATACATTGACAGGGAACTTCCAGAAATTCAAGTTGGATTTAGAAGAGGACGTGGTACAAGGAATATCACTGCTGACGTCCGATGGATTTTGGCTGAAAGCAGAGAATACCAGAAAGATGTTTACCTGTACTTTACTGACTACACAAAGGTTTTCAATTGTGTGGATTGTGACAAGCTATGGACAACATTGTGAAGTATGAGTATTCCGGAACACTTAATTGTGCTCATGAGGAATCTGTACATGGACCAAAAGGCAATTGTTTGAACAGAACATGGGAACACTGAATGGTTTAAAATTAAGAAAGGTGTGCAACACCTTTAATACGTATTATTTCACTATACTTATTCAACCTGTATGCTGAGCAAATTATCTGAGAAGCTGGGTTATATGAAGAAAATGAGGCATCAGGATTGGAGGAAGATTCATTAACAAACAGCCTGCGATATGCAGATGATACAACCTTGCTTGCTGAAAGTGAAGAGGACTTAAAATCCTTATTGATGAAGATCAAAGACCACAGCCTTTGGAAGGGATTGCATCTCCATGTAAAAAAAAAACAAAGATCATCACCATTGGACCAATAAACATCCTTATCAGTGGAGAAAAGATTGAAGTTGTCAAGGACTTCATTCTTCTTGGATCAACCATTCACACTCAAGGAAGCAGCAGTCAAGAAGAAAAATAAAGAATGTATTGCAGTAGGCAAATCTGCTGCACAAGACTTTTTAAAGTGTAGCAGAGCAAAGATGTCAGCTTGAGAACTAAGGTGCACCTGACCCAAGCCATGGTATTTTCAATAACCTCATATGCATGAAAAAGCTGGACAGTGAATAAGGAAGACCGTAAAAGAATTGACACATTCGAGTTATGGCATTGTTGGAGGAGAATATTGAAAGTGCCATGGGCTGCCAACAGATCTGTGTTGGCAGAAGTGCAGCCAGAGTGCTCCTTGGAGACCATGATGGCCAAAGTTCGTCTCTCATATTTTGGGTATATTGTCAGGAGGGACCCGTCACTGGAGAAGGATATCATGTTTGGTAAGGTGGAGGGTCAGAGAAAAAAAGGAAGATCCCCAGTGAGATGGATTGGCAAAGTGGCAGCATCGATGGGCTCAAGCGTGGCAATAATT